CAACACACACACACAGCTCCTTGAATGGTCAAATGATCTGATCTGTCCACATTTTCCAATTCAGCTTACAGCTTTCATGCATGGGGGGTCCATGACTCATGGCAGGGCAGGGGAGAAAAGAACATCATCTCAACTTAGCAGGACGATTTCAACCCAACACAGAACTAAGAGTAGAAAAGGCGCTGAGAAATGGTAGGAAACAAGTACTCCATTTTCAGAATATGTTCTCTGGAATCTATTCCCAACCTTTGATGCTAAATATAAAATCCCATCATCTTAACAGTTGCTTTAGAGACAAATACAAAGTGAAATCTAAAAGTAATAATTATGTAGAGCAATGTGGACCCTGACACTTGGGAAACACATTATTAGAAAAACAGAGCTACATAGCAAAAATAAACAAACAAAACAGAAAATGGTCTTGGTACCATTTAATAACCAGACAAAAATGAGTTTAATTCAGGTAGTATAAAAACACCTATATGGGAACATTGGATCAAATTTTTGAAACAGAAACAAATCAAAACATATATTAGTTCTGGAAAGTAAACCTTCTTTTTCTCAATTTTTACTTTAATAGAATACCATAATTTAGAAAAAGCAATTCATTTTCCAAACTCAATTTTCTCGTAATCTGTACATGCGCAACAGGATGGCACTCTGTATCTCATCTGATTTTAAAATGGCAGAATTTAATTTTCAGCAGCACATCTTCTTTGCCCCAACAAGACACCATAAGAAATAAAATTAAAATTCTCTCTTGAAATGCCCTCGATCTTTGATTTACACCTGCAATTCCCATCTATTTCTTTCTTATGTTCCAAAGACTACAATGATCAAAATCTAAAGGTCAACAAAACAAAAAACAGAGAAACAAAAAAAAATTACCTTTACTTGTTTGGAATTCAGCTGGTAAAACAGTACGACTACAGTCACAACATTCTCAGAACCTGGCATGGTCCCTGGAACGATACCTGGGTGCTTTGGAGACCCTGTTCACTAAGTAAAGGTACACACAGGCTTCCGGCACACAGCGGTGCTGATTGGACCTGGTC